TTCCAACGATACCTCAAACGTCGAAATCGATCAATCCGTTCGAAAAAAATTTAATTTTAAAAATTTCATATGATTTTTCTATATTTTTCTATAAAATTCATTTGGTATATCTGTCCGCGATTTTGCGTAGTTGTTAGTTGTTTCTGATCTTTTTGAAACTTTCTTGGATTAAAGTACACAAAAAACTAATATAAGACTTTTTTGTTCCGGCACTTTTCGATTTGGCCGCCATGTTGGCCGGTCTCCAAAAGTCACTTTTTGACTTTTGTCCCTAGAGTCACCGAGGCACATCCACTTGACACACCCGGACATATGCATATCGTTGGAAAGGTCTTAAAGCCAGCTATCGAATGGTGTCATTTGCGGTCCAAAAATGTCAAGTTGGAGTGGCCAAATTGGCCAAAAACCAAAAAGTTACCGTTCGGCCGGACACATGACGTACATTTTTGCGAAAAAGACTGCATATGTTCTCTTGAAAATTTCATCAATTTAAGCCCCAAGTCAAAGATAAAAAAAATATGGATACCACACACCACAGAAAAAACCACTTTTCTCCATTATGAACCACAATTATACTAGGGGGAAAGAACAAGCCAAAAAGCTAAAAAAATACGATTCAATACACAAAATAAATGTCAATACGTGTAAATACGTGTAAATACTTGTCAATACTGGAAATGAATGTAAATACCGGTAAATACGCGTAAATAAAAATTTCGTCAATCGCTAATGTCAAACTGTCTTATCGACTGAATTATTCATACAAAAAACTCTAAAAAGTATACTTTTTGTCAAGTGGATGGCTCTAAGAAGAGACACATTGCGAATGGTTTACATTAATGCCATCTGTTGGCTTGGAGAGATGGGAGAGATTGTGACATTTTTGACGTAATGTATTTTACGTATTCATGTTTTTGGCAAGTCATTTGTCAATTTGGAACGTCCTGTTTCAATATCAATCAAATCACCAACCCATTTGTTAGGTTACATAAAATATTTAAAAACAAACATAAAACAATACACAGCTTTTGGTAAAAAACAAAATAAAGAGATAAAATAAACTTAAAGAATAAATTACTGATAAAAAATATATCAGTCTAATATTTATTTCTCACCATTTTTATAACGCTATTTACAGCGACTTCAAAATGCGAAAAATGACGAAATGTCATAAATCTAAATTGACAAATGACTTGTCAAAAACATGAATACGTAAAATACATTACGTAAATTTGGTTGGAGACGTTGGAGAAAAATAATATTTCATCATTTTCATCATAAAAAAAAAATATAGTTTTGTTCAAAAATTCAAATAAAATCAAATTTAAAAAATATATTATTATTATAAAGGAAAAATATATTACTTAAAATAAAAATAAATAATAAATATGTGCATTTGTGTTACGTTACATAGAGCAAATTTGTTTACATGCTAGAGATGTAAATTTAGTTGAGGGATGTCAGGTATGATGGCGCTGATTAGCGAGACTCGCATAAAAAAGTCTCCAATCTCATATATGTGTCATCCACGTGCTTTTTGTAAATAAAAAATAAAAATAAAAATTTTTTTTAATGTTTTTTAGCGGAAATTAATTTTCTTTTTAATTTTGCTGGGATTTGTGCGGTGATTATTCGCTGATTATTAAATCAGAAATAAATATGCGTAACATAACCTCACTTTTAATTACGTAATTAAAATTTACGTAATAAAGTATTACGTACGAATTTTTTTATTCATTTATTTATATGTAGGGGAGAGTCACGTAGGTTGAGACGGGTTTTGTTTTTTGGTCATTTTTTTTACTTATACAATTTATCAAGGAAAGTTATATACCGTTGGAAAGGTACTGTTCCGAGCTACAGCTTTGCCCAAAGAAGTAGTTGTGTATCTCCAAGAACACAAAAGTTTTGGTCAATTTTCCAAACATATGATTTTTGGCCTCCCAAAAATTTGGCACGTAGGTTGAGACACTATGAGTAATTGAAAATGGGTTGAATAAAATAAAGTTTAGACGCCATATTTTGAGTGGTTATTGTTTATTTCTTTATTATGAAGGCCTCCGCCACAAAAAAATGATAAAAAAGTTGACAATTTCATGAATTCTTAATCAATCCGTGAGATCAGCATCAGAATCGCAATTTTGACAAGTGTAGTAACTGCGTGTCATATGGACGCATTTCAAATGAAATAGCCGCTTGCAATTATTACATTCAATTGAGTTCGATTTTGGTCAATTTTGATGGCACATTTTGCATGCAGATCGTGCAAAAATCGATATTCTCGTCCGACGTTGATGATGATTTTTTCTTTGCGGCCCGTGTTGGCTGTGATCGCTTTTTGGGTGTTGCTTTTGGCGATGACCCCTTTCGCTTTATTGCGCCTTTCTCCTTCTTTTCTGCAGCCTCGATACGTTTTTGTTGGTTTTCCTTGAGTTTGGAAACACTTTCAGGTGATGTTAGAACTGTGCTCGTTCCTAGCTTACGGGCACGATTTGATTTCTTTCGCGGTGAACCTTGTTGAACTGGACCAATATCGCTCAGTATTGACGACAAACTTTCGGAACGAGAGCCCATTGATGTGGTTGATGTTGATGCCACAGATGGTGCGGCCGATGTTGTTGCCACAGATGGTGCGGCTGACGTTGTTGCTTCTGAAGTTGACACTTCAACGTTTAATCCCACGTCAAGTTCGCTTGTTTCAACACAAATTCGTCGTTGATCTTCTTCAGTGTGTTTTTTGCATGCAGAGAATGTCGATAAATTCAAAGAAAAATGTGATAACTTGAAAACAAATCACTTTACACGAACGTCAAATTGCAATTCCGAACACAAACAAAGATAAAATGACATTTCTGGTGTTTTCCCACCAAAATACATAGCGTCATATACTGTCTCAACCTACGTGACTCAAAGTGTCTCAACCTACGTGATTTGCCGCCATATAGGCATGACGCTGTATTTTTGGTTCAACACAAGATATGTTCGGAATTTCTTCGGATTGTTAAAATACAACAAAAACTGTAATGTAAATGTCATGCTCACCTTTTTGTACCACAAAAAATGGCAATTTTTTTTACTTTGGTCAAATTTTTGAAATCACTTTTTTCCGAAAAATTTTTTGGGTGCTCTGGCTCAAGTACAATGAGTGCGTGAAAACACGTCAATACACTACGAAAAGTTTACTAACAATGATTCAACAACTTGACAGTACAAATAACATGTCTGCCAGCTGTCAAACAAAAAAATTTCGGGGTGTCTCAACCTACGTGCCGTCTCAACCTACGTGACTCTCCCCTAAATATTTTGAACGGGATTGGTGCTAGGATTGGTGTCACAAAAATGAAAATAAAATTAATCCCCTGATTAATCCTAGATTTAATCTATATTCAATAAAAATATTTATTCAAATTTTCTACAATAATTACGTAATTAAAATTTACGCAATAAAGTGAGGTTATGCAATTCATATTTATTTTGAATTTTTTATTCATTTATTTATTGCGTAAATTTTAATTACGTAATTAGAAAATTTAAATAAATATTTTTATTGAATATAGATTAAATCTAGGATTAATCAGGGGATTAATTTCATTTTCATTTTTGTGACACCAATCCCGTTCAAAATATTTACATATAAATAAATGAATAAAAAAATTCGTACGTAATACTTTAATACGTAAATTTTAATTACGTAATTAAAAGTGAGGTTATGTTACGCATATTTATTTTTGATTTAATAATCAGCGAATAATCACCGCACAAATCCCAGCAAAATTAAAAAGAAAATTAATTTCCGCTAGAAAACATTAAAAAAAAATGTTTATTTTTATTTTTTATTTACAAAAGTATACTTTTTAGAGTTTTTTGTATGAATAATTCAGTCGATAAGACAGTTTGACATTAGGTTTGACAAACGAAATTTTTATTTACGCGTATTTACATTCATTTCCAGTATTGACAAGTATTTACACGTATTGACAAGTATTTACGTCTCAACAATATGACTCAATACGATCAATATTTGTAAATATCGTTCAATATTTGTAAATATCGTTCAATAT